TAGGAAAAAACAAGTAGATTGACTTATGCTTTGAAAGATATGGATCTTAAAAATCTTAGCTATTTTAGATTATTATACTTTAACTTTGTACTTAATGATAAATTCACATTTTACCTGCATTTTTGATTTCCTCAGTGTTTTATCTAAAAATGGAATCAGTTCACCTAATTAGGCATTTTATATGCTTCTTTCACATTATTCACATTATTGAGGCCATTTGTCAATATTTATTGTGGTTTCTATTGAACTGTGCAGATTTATATGGTTCACTTTGTTTTTCTATTAGTCTGTGACTTTTCTTTTTCTACTTAACTTACCATCAAATGTTTTCTTTACCCTTGAAACTCAGAAAAATAACTGAATGTGGATTGTTCCAAATAAATTTCTCTGACATATGACAGTTAACTTTTTTGACCTGCAAATACAAGTTTTCCATAATTTGTGTTAAATATTCCTGTATTGTATTCTTTCCCTCCCTCCTCCCCTCCTCCTCCTTCCCTCCTCCTCCTCCCCTCCTCCTCCTCTTCCTTCTTCTTCTTCTTTCTTCTCCTTCTCCTTCTTCTTCTTCCTCCTCCTACTCCGCCTCTTCCTCTTCCTTGTCCCCTCCTTTTCTCTTCCTATAGCATATGTTACAAGGCAAACAATTGGAAAATCAATGAGAACAATAAAAACAGCATGACTTATGGACCTTTAAAACTTTTGAAAACTAGAAAGATATTGTAAATATTCTTTTATAAAGATATTAGTATTATTTTAGTATTAATATTTAGCAAATATTAAATATATTATTAGTAAAATGTATTAAAAGATTTAAACATCACTGCTATGTCATACTTACTAGTACTAGGCAGGAATTCCATTAATTGATGACAATGTAGAATATGAATATACCAAAGTTTTTAAATTAGGATTAATAAAATTCTTTAAGATAGAATCTAAGTATGTTCACAAAGCATTCAAATTATAAAAATCAAGAAAGGTTATCAGATTCACATGAGAAAAACTCAATAGCTGAACCTATACTACAACATATAAATAAAATTTTGAAACAGTTCCTTAGTGTGGATATTAATGACAGAATAATGCACTTATGAATCCTTTAAGAATCAGAGAAAAACTTAAGCAGGTTGAATGTTCTGCAATAGTTCTGTCCAGTACTGATATTATGAGAGCCACATATGATATTTTAAATTAGCTGATAATTATTTTAAAATGTAAAATGCTATAGAGAAAATCAATTGTTCTAACATAAGGCTTTTAAATGATTGCATCCAAAATATTATATAAATGTTTAATCAGTACTAATATTACTATTTTAGTAATATTTTCTGTTATTCTTTTCAGACTAAGTCATTGAAATTTAGTGTGCACATTTTGCCTACAGCATGTCTCAACTAGGACAAGCTACATTTCAAGTGTTCAGTAATCATATATAACTAGTGGCTACTGTACTGGATAATGCAGATATAGGGTGGATGTTCTAAAATTTTGTGGCATCATAATCATCTGGAGTGTTTGGAGGGAGGTGGCCCAAACAATGTATACACCTGTCAGTAAATGTAGAAATGATAAAGTTAAAAAACCCTCATTGTATTATGGAGGGGGTGAATCCTAATCAAGGTACATTGTAAGCTCATGCATACAAGTCACAGTGAACACTCCTTGTACAGCTAATGTATGTTTAATAAAAATGTAAAAAAAATAAAATAAAACACAAATTGCTAGACCCCACTCCAAAGTTTCTGATTCATCTCTTCTGGATATGAGCTAAGCATTTGCATTTTTAATAAATTTCTAGATGAGAAACACAAATTTGGAGGGTTCACTGAGCTATTCATTTTACTCTGCTTATGGAAATTAAACTTTCTATAATATCTGTAATTCTTTGAGCCAACATGTGTCAGGGCAAAGAAAGCTAGAAAAATGCACCCTACCACACCTTCTTAAATGCAATTCTTACCATTTTTCTCATAGTTCAAAATCTTCCTAGGTTACTAAGGTCTTTGTCACATGAAACAGATGACTATCTGTGACATGTAATTTGAGAGATAAGAAACCCTGATTATATACATAGAATACACATTGAACAAAGCTAATTTCCAATAACTTGCATGTTACATATATTTGTTGGTATATATTGACAAATAACTAATTTTTGTTTATAATTTTTGACTCAGGATAAAGTCTTAAAATAAAAATAAACTTATGAGAGCGTTTTTAAAGTTTTCAATGATTCCTCAGTTTTTCTAAGAATTATTTTTGGTTGTAAAGATTGGTAGTTTGAACATCATGTAATAAATAGCCTGGACTCCAATAAACATTATTAAAGCCCATCCCTACTTAAAAGAATACACAAGGGCTGAAAGGACTGGACACCATTTAGTATAAAGACCAATGACTTTTAAGTTATGAGCCTTGGGCTTTATTTTCTACCCTATTATTATTAGCTGTGCAAGCTGAAATAAATTAGTTGAATACTTAACATTTCAGCTCTTTATTTTATAAAATTGAGTGACTAATATAATTGGTAACATTTAGTAAGGATACACTAAACCTAACCAGTGTATTTAATAAGAATCAAATCCTCAGTATTCAAGCACACAAAGTGACAAGTAATTTTTAGCATTTATTGAGCCCTTCTTATAGCCAGTGTATTTTCAAAATATATTGGTTTTATATAACATATTTTATAACTAACCCACTGCATTGTTTTAAATGGAAATGTGATATATGAAAATTTACTTTAAAAGTCTAGTTACTATATTTTCTTTTAAGTACACCAGCATTATAGAATTAAGAAAATTTAAAGATTAGATGTAATAAAATACTCTCTCAACCTAACTCAATTATATTACAAGTGATCTCAGTGTTTTCAAAGTATAGAAGTCTGTGTCCAAATGATACTACAGTTTGATGCGGATTATACAGGCCCTCATGGTATCCATTTTATTCTTCACTCTTGTGGCTTCTATGTTCACTAGGCAGAGAAGAGAACATAGAGAAAGCAAACTGGGTAATTAACAAACTTTGCCCCAAAGTCTCTTCTTCTCATATCTCATTTGCCAAAATTGGTCACTTGACTAATTTAACTGAAAAAGAAGCTAGGAATTGCAAATGTGCATGTTATGAGGGATTACAAACAATGTCTGTTACACCAGCTGAAATTGTTATTGAAAGGAGAATAATGGAGGAAATGAACCAATTTGAGATATATATGACAGGAAGGTGAAAACAAGCCTTGTCTGGGGGTTGGTTTTAGTGGGAGGGGGAGGGTGTAAGGAAAGTGAACGTGAATATGGCAGAAGTACTATATACTCATGTATGAAAATGGAACAGTAAGACCTGTTGAAAATGTTCTAAGAAGGGGGTCAAGAGGGATAAAAGAAAAAAAGATGAAGGGGTGACTCTAAATATATCATAAGCACTATTGAAAGTGACACAATGGACCCCTGGTACAACTATAAAAAAATAAATCAATTAAAGAAGTAAAATTAAAATGGCTAAAGAACAATTCTTATTTTTTGATGTAGATTTTTTTATTATTCATTTATTCACACGAGAGTACATTGTTTGGGTCATTTCTTCCACTGCCCCCCTCCCCCATCCTCTCCACCCTCCCCCCTCACTTCCAGGCAGAACCTGTTCTGACCTTATTTATAATTTTGTTGAAGAGAAGACATAAGCATAATAAGAAAGAGAAAGCCTTTTTGATAGTTGAGCTAAGGATAGCTATACAGAGAGATTCCTAGCATTACTTCCATGTACAAATATGTTACAACCCAAGTTGATTCATCTCTAACTGATCTTTACACTGGTTCCTGATCTTCTTCTCATGTTAACCTCTGTCTCTTTAAGGTTTCTGTATTAGTTCCTCTGCAGTGGGGACATTAAACCATGTTTTGGGTTTTCTCCCTATTTCCATATCTCCCATATGTGCTCTCCTGTTGTCATGTGACCCAACAACATTGTTGTATTTGCCCTAGATCTAAAGTCTGCATATGAGGGAGAACATACGATTTTTGGTCTTCTGAGCCTGGCTAACCTCGCTCACAATGATGTTCTTCAATTCCATCCATTTACTTGCAAATGATAAGATTTCATTCTTTTTCATGGCTGAGTAAAATTCCATTGTGTATAAATACCACATTTTCTTAATCAGTAGTGGGGCATCTTGGTTGTTTCTATAACTTGGCTATTGTGAATAGTGCTGCAATAAACATGGGTGTGCAGATGCCTTTGGAGTAAAAAGAAAAATTCTTCAACAGATATTTCTGGAAGCACACTATGTAGCTATAGGAAATTTTTATTCATAACCATGCATTAGATTATATGGAAAAAATATAGAATATATAGAAAATAGAATTATAAATCTAAAAATATTAAGAATCTACAGGAAAACAATATAACATGTTTATGATTTGCGTCTAAGCAAATATTTTGCTGATGTTACACAAGAAGTCCTAGATTTTAAAAAATCGGTAAGTGGAAGTAATCAAAATTGAGTCTGTGCTTCATCAAGAGGTATTCTAGAAACATGAAAGACAGATGCAGAAAACTGTTAGCATTGCATTTATTTGTATGGTGGATTTACCTAAAATGAAGACTTCCTATGATTCTATAATAAACTCATAATATACCCAATTAAAATTGGCAAAAGATTTGAACAGATATTTCATAAAGTAGGTTTTTAAATAATCAATAAATGCATTTAAAAGGTGCTCACTATCATTAGTAATCTAGTAAATGCACCTAAAAATCTTAATGCAAAGCACAGGACATTAGGGAATTAGTGGTGTAAGTAACTCCAGTAGTGCAGTAGGTAATACCTGTACCCCACAAAGAAACATCAAAAAATCAACAGTGTGAAGCTACTATGTCAAAACTCTGGAAAAAATAACTTCACGGGAAGGAACTGAATGCTAAATCAAGAAAAAGATAATTTAAAATGATAGGAAAGTTTCATGACAGTTTTACTTTTCTAATCCCCATTTTCTCCATAGGTCAGCAGCTATCTTGAAGACTACATTTCCTGCATAGGATTCTGGTTCCTGTTTTTGGAGAGAGCAGGACACACCTTATTCACAAATTATGGTACAAATTTCTTCTAACCTTCATGAAGATTCCTGAAGGACTAACACATAGCACTGATCTCTGTTTTACCTAACTTGGATCTGATTAAGCTTGAAAGTTGTGCTTGAAAACATTGAAAATTATATGAAACAGCTCAGATGCCTGGAGCAAAAGATTAAAATTGAGATATAAAATAAATTACCTAAGGCCTGGGAGAAAAAGCTAAGGAGGGTTTCATTAGGAAATTAGAGGGTAACAAAAAGCACTCATATATAAGAAAAAACTTAGAAAGTCATTTACATATAATGAGGTATCACTTCACATCTGCTAGGATATATCTAATCATAAAAAGAAAAAGGTATCAAGTATTGGCGAGGATATGGAGTAACAGAAACCTATGTACACTCTCAATTACAAAGTCATTATGGAAAAGAATATGTAGGTTCTTCATTACTTAAAAATAGAAGTGTCATATGGTACGACCATCCCATAATTGAATATACAACCACAGGAAGATAATTCTAGGTGACAAAGAGATACCTGTACTCCCAAGTACAATGCAGCATTATCTTAATAACCAAGATATAGTGTTGTCAGTCTCCATTAATCAATAAAATGTGTTACATGTATACATTGGAAATTTCCATTCTTAAAAATGAAGAAAATCCTGCTACAAGGATGTACCTCAGGATATTAGGTTGTTTTATAAATCAGGCAAAGAACAATAAGCACCATATAGTCTCATACATGGAACCTAAATACATTGAACTCATTGAAGTAGAGAGTAAAAGGTGGTGAGCAGGAGTTAGGGAGTTGGGACTTTTAGGGAGACATTGGTCAAAGCATATGAATTTTCAGTTAGACAGTAGGAATAAGTTAAAGAGATCCATGTTATAACATCGTGACTATACTTAACAATAGTATATTGTAAATTTGAAGTTTGCTAAAAGGAGATTTTGTGTTCACACCAAAAAAAATTTGTATTGGCTTAGTACATAAATTAATTTGATTAATACATTCCACATTGTATACATATATCAGAACATCATGTACTCCATAAATATGTACACTTTAATTCTTTTAAATAAAATGAACAAAAATCATGTGCATTTTGTAGGGAAAGTCTCATGTTCAGAAAACACTTCAGAAAACTATGACCAGGAATGAAGATGGCAGCTAGTGTAGGGAATCAGAAATCAGAAGGTCTGTGACACTAGAAACCTTGAGACATCAAGCTACATTTGGGTAATTCTGATTGCTTCTAACCAAAATAATAACCACCATCACATTAGGTGCAGATAAAATTCAAAGACTGACACTTAAATCAGCCTTTAATTGCACCTAACAGCCACAAAAAATCCTGTGTGGCACAGCCAGCCAGGAGTGTCCAGCTAGGGGAAAAAAAGACCCCCAGCCACCATTTCTCTTTTTTTTCCTCTTTTTTTCTCCAAACAAACAAAAGACAGAGCATCAATCAGAATCAAACTCTGTGAGGAGAGGATCCAAAATGGCAAATACTACAAAACACAGACGCATGAGCTCCAGGAATCAGGGACCTTGCTGAGACGCTGGAGATATGCTTGGCTGAGGTAAAACACCAGGGAGAGCTGAAATTTCGGCACCCTGAACCCCTAGTCTGTTGAAGGCTTCTCCACATCACAAGACACTGAAAGAAAAGGCGGGTCACCAACCCCATGCTGCCTCCTCATGCCCGCTGGCCTACTGGGCTGCCACCCACCTGCTGGCCAGCTGGCCCACTGAGTTGCTGCCCACCCACCGGCCAGCTGACCTTCAGGCCTGCAAGGCCTCTACCCCACACGACCACTAGGCTGCAGCCCACTGGCCCGCTGGGCTGCTGCCCAGCCAATGGCCTGACAGCCAACTGGGCCTCTGCCTGCTGGGAAGCGGCCCACTCACCAGCGCACTGGCACATGGGCTGCCACCCACCACAGGAGGACTCCCAAACCACCGGACACCAGCTCCAAACATGCCTAGGAGATGCAGACAAACAGGACTGGATGCTAAAGGAGTAACACCAGAACTACTAAGACTTAAATTCTACTCTTCTTGAATCAGGGATTTTTTTTCTTTTTTCTTTTTTTTTTCTTTTCTTTAAGTGTCTGTTTTGTTCTCTGTTTGATATCCAACATCTCTCCCTGTTGATTTCTTTGGTTCTCCTTCTACTTTTTTCTTTCTTTTTCTTTTTTCTCCTTTCTTGGTTTTGTTACTTTTACTGTTGTAAGTTAGCTAGCACTTAATTACACATAGACTAGGGACAGAAACAGTACCAAGTGGAATGATGGGAAGATGAAAAAGGGATGGAAACAATTCTCCTACCAAAAATATATTACTAAAGGATTCAGAGGGAAATGAAGAAAATGGACACCCAGATCCAGACTCCAATAAAACAAAGATAAACTATACCAAGGAACCCAATGAAGCCCACAAGAACACCCTGAAATAAGAAGTCCTGCAAGTAATCAATGAAAATTTCAGACAGATGTTACTAGACATGGTCAATCAAAACATACAGGAGGCACTCAAGACATTCCAAGACAACAAAAATAAGAATATGAGAAAACACAAAAACAAATAAATGAACTAATAGGAGCCAAAATAGACACCAAAGTGAAACAGAGAACACCATAAATAGAGAGATAAATGAATTTAGGATGAAAATTGACAATATTAAAGAGGAAGTGACAATGATAAAGAAAATCTCAGAAAAAAAATGAAACAGATATACAAAACAAAATGGAAATCCAATCTAGCAGACTAGAAGAAGCAGAAGACATAATCTCAAAACTTGAAGATGAAATGGAAAATAAGGAAAAACTGAAGAACTATTAGAAAGACAAATCAAGACCTGTGAAAGTAATATGCAAGAACTCACCAACTCCATCAAAAGACCAAACCTGAGAATTATGTACATTGAAGAAGGAGAAGAGGTGCAAGCAAAAGGAATTCATAATATATTCAACAAAATAATTACAGAAAATTTCCCAAATCTAGAGAAAACTATGCTCATTCAGGTACAGGAAGCTGCCAGGACACCAAACAGACTTGACCAAAATAGAACTACTCCACAATATATTATCATTAAGGCAACAAGTACAAAGAATAGAGAAAGAATATTGAATGCTGTAAGAGAGAAAAAACAAATAAAATACAAACATAAACCCATCAAAATCACAACAGATTTCTCAACATAAACATTAAAAGCATGAAAATAACTTCAAACCTAGGATACTCTACCCAGTAAAACTATCATTCAAAATACATGGAGCAATAAAAGTCTTCCATGATAAGCAGAAACTAAACCTATATATGACCACCAATCCACCAATAAAAAAGATTCTTCAAGGAATTCTGCACACAAAAAGTGAAAGCAAACAAAACCATGAAAGGGCAGGCAGTACCAAACCACAGGAAAAGAAAAGGCAAGAAAGTAGAGAGTAACATTGATTCAGCTGCACACAATCAAACTCTTAAACAACAATGACAACTATATGACAAGAATCACCACATACCTATCAATACTAACACTGAATGTTAATGGATTTAATTCCCCCATCAAAAGACACAGTTTGGCAAACTGGATTAAAAAGGAAGAAACAACAATCTGTTGCTAACAGGAGACCCATGTCATAGACAGAAACAAGCACTAGCTGAAGGTGAAAGGCTGGAAGAAGACTTACCAAGCCAATGGCCACTGAAAACAAGCAGGAGTAGCAATTCTTGTGTCAGACAAAATAGATTTCAAACTTACATTGACCAAATGAGATAAAAAAGGACACTGCATACTAATAAAAGGGGACATACACCAAAAGGAAATAACAATTATCAGCCTGTATGCACCCATTGTCAATGAACCAAATTCATCAAACATACTCTGAATGATCTAAAACATATATAGACTCCAACACAGTGGTAGTGGAGACTTTAATACCCCCCTATCACCAATAGATAGATCATCCAAACAAAAAATCAATAAAGAAATTCTAGAACTAAATCACACCATAGATCAAATGGAACTAGCTGATGTGTACAGAATATTTCATCCAACATCTGCATAATATACATTCTTCTAAGCAGCTCATGGAACCTTCTCCAAAACTGATCATATCTTATGGCACAAAGCAAGCCTTAGCAAATATAAGAAAACAGAAATAATCTCATGCATTCCATCTAATCACAATGCATTAAAACTAGAAATGAACAAGAAAAATAACAGTAAAAAACATGCAAACGATTGGAAGCTGAACAACACATTGCTACATGATCAATGGGTAATTGATAAAATAAGAGAGGAAACTAAAAGGTTCCTGGAAGTTATTGAAAATGAAAACATGACCAACCGGACCTTTAGGACACAGCAAAGGCAGTCCTAAAAGGAAAGTTTGTAGCCATGAGTGCATATATTAAAAGGACAGAAAGATCACAAATCAATGACCTAATGCTACATCTCAAACTGCTAGAAAAACAAGAACAAGCAAATCTCAAAACAAGTAGGAGAGAAATAATAAAAATAAGGGCTAAAATCAATGAAATAGAAACAAAAAAAAAAATCCATACAAAGAATCAGTGAGACAAAAAGCTGGTTCTTTGAAAACATAAATAAGATTGACAGACCCCTGGCAAACCCAACTAACATGAGGAGAGAAAACCCAAATCAGTAAAATCAGAAATGGAAAAGGGGAGATAACAGCAAACACCATGGAAATCCAGGAAATCACAAGAGACTACTTTCAGACCCTATATGCTAATAAATTAGAAAATCTTGAAGAAATGGACAGATTTCTAGATACTTATGACCATCCAAAACTGAACCAAGAGGATATTAATCACCAGAATAGATCTATAACACAAAATGAAATTGAAGCAGGAATAAAGAATCTCCCAAAAGAGAAAAGTCCAAGACCTGATGAATTCTCTGCTGTATTATATCAGACATTTAAAGAAGAATTAATACCAACCCTCCTTAAACTGATCCATGAAATAGAAAGGGAAGGAACACAACATAACTCATTTTATAAAGCCAATATTACTCTCATCTCAAAACCAGAGACACCTCCAAAAAGGAGAATTATAGGCCAATTTCCATAATGAACATCAATGCAAAAATTCTCAATAAAATAATGGAAAACCAAATCCAACAACACATCAGAAAGATCATCCACCATGACCAAATCCGCTTCATCCCAGGGATGCAAGGGTGGTTCAACATACACAAATCTTCAAATGTAATACAGCATATTAATAGAAGCAAAGACAAAAACCACTTGATCATCTCAATAGATTCAGAAAAAGCCTTCAACAAGATATAAGATCAAAGAAAACTAGGAACAGAAGGAATGTACCTCACCATTGTAAAGGCTACATATGACAAACCTACAGCTGACATCCTACTTAATGGTGAAAACATGAAACCATTTCCCCTAAACTCAGGAATGAGACAAGGGTGCCCACTATCCCCACACCTATTCAACATAGTACTGGAATTACTAGCCAGAGCAATTAGGCAAGAAGAAATAAAAGGAATACAAATGGGTAAAGAAACTATTAAAATATACCTATCTGTAGATGATATGATCTGATACCTCAAAGACTCAAAAAACTCTACCCCAAAAGTCCTAGACACTATAAACAGATACAGCAAGGTGGCAGGATACAAAATCAACTTACAAAAAATCATTAGTTTTTCTATACACCAACAACAAACAAACTGAGAATGCATATATGGAAGCAATTCCATTCACAATAGCCTCAAAAACATCAAATACCTGGGAGTAAGTAAGTTTACTTACCTTACAAAGGATGTGAATGACCTGTCCAACTAAAACTACAATCACCTGAAAGAAAAAATCAAGGAAAATTACAGAAGATGGAAAGATCTCTGGTGTTCATGGATTGGTAGAATCAACATAGTAAAAATGGCTATACTACCAAAAGCAATCTACATGTTTAATGCAATTCCCATCAAGCTCCCAATGACTTCCATCACAGAGCTTGAAAAGTCTACCCTAAAGTTCATTTGGAAGCACAAGAGACCACGAATAACCAAGGCAATACTCAGCAAAAAGAGCAATGCTGGAGGAATCACAATACCTGACTTCAAAATATATTACAAAGCAATAGCAATAAAAACAGCATGGTACT